TGAAGGCAGCACCAATTAACCGACTGGCCCATAAAACTATGGTATTTGCACTGTGAGACAGATTCGTAAATGGCGTGACAAGGTTTCCTCTCTGTTGGCAGTACAATTGTTCTTAAAATCAACACCTTTTTTGTGTGTTGACCATGTAATAGACTCTCGCTAGTGAGAACCGGTAATGTTTTTGTTCAAGCCTAGCTTACCACTAATACATGAGTGAAGGTGAGGGCTGCAATCTAGGTTAATTCTGTTTGAGGCCAGACAAGAGCACAATGCAGGAAGCCAAAGAAGATGTATAAACCAGTTCAGAACTGATATCGTCAGTCGCTACACCCGGAGGGATTTGCTGAGAGAGGGGTTCTGATCATTAATAGACTGTAAGGTTTGGCAAGTAACGAGGATGGCCAGGCGAATGAGTAACTAACTGTCTAACCTAAATCGATTCAAATGTCTTACTCAAGAAAGTAATTTCAACTGTCGGGGACGCTAGACGCCAGAGCTTAGGCATCTTTGCCCTTCCCTCCCCTTCAGAAACAGTTTATGGGTTGTAACTTATTACCCCCACTCTTCCTCTTCTATCCACTAATAATTCGAGCCTGTCATACTGAAAACGTGCAAAGAGATATATATATATATACATACATACAGTAAACGCTCGCTAAAACAAGCTCCAACGGACCAACAATCCAGTTTATTTTAAACAAATGTCCAGAACTTATCAAAAATCATCCACGAGGAAACTCAAACAGCATATATATTTAAGCGTGTTTTTCTTAACTCTTTGAGTCCCAGGGGGTTTAGCATTAGAGGCCCAAGGGATAGTCAAAAGAGATGTAAAATTGATGCATCTTGCGTTCATTGGGCCCCTAGGCAGGAACCTATGAACGTATGATGCGTTCCTTGGGACTCAAAGAGTTAAGCGGGTTCCTATTACTGACGTGTCACTTTACCGTGTTCACTTGTCACTTCCTAGGCAATTATAAGGAGGTTAAGCGAACCCACCTTTGCTGTGGCTCCCTGAAGACAGTAATTGTGGATTTTTACTTTTATTATCCTAGACTAGAAGTCTAGAGCCTGTTTAACCGCTCCGTATCAGGTTTTAAAGAGGCATTATGTGCGAATCTTTATATGTGTGTGTATGTGTTTGTGTGTGTGTGGTTTCTGTAGATGCTGCTATTCAAGGCCCAAGACATTCCATCTATCTATCTCTTTCCTCAACGACTTCTAGTTCTGCATCCGTTGTATCTTATTGACATGGCTATTTTGGTGCATTGTCGTGTGGTAGTCATGTCACATGGCCGAAACATTTGATCTGTTTTCTATTTATGTAGTTTAGCACTGGTTCCATTACAACTTGTTTCCCGAAATCGTCAGTTTTTATCCTGCCTCTTTTTGGTTCTTGTGATTTACTGTAGACATTTCATTTCTGATGTGTCCCTATGTTATGTTTTTCGTTTGCTATTAATGTCCACGTTTGGCACAAGTAAAACAATATTGGTCAACTTAACTACGCCCTGATTATAATCATCATCATTTGTAGGTGCTTTGTAGAAGGTCACTTTCATGACATGACGGCGGAACTCCTATCAGTACCCTGCATTTGTTCCTCTCATGAACTGTAATGCTGAAGTCCTTGATATAGCATGCCATCGCATCGACTTACTGGTTGACCCCTGCCTTTACTTCCAGTAACCATACCTTCCATTATTAAAGTAAAGTCGGGAGATGTGAACCAGAGTCATTGCACACGGTTAAAAACCATAAGTGCTCTGCAACCAGTGCGAACAGCTGATAAGAAACTGTCCGTTTGTGTCGCTGCCCCAAGTAACTCTGTAGCTACAGTGACGTTCCTCCATTTACCCCAGAGTGTCACCATGGTACCCATTTCCTAGAGGCTGGGTGAACCCCGGGAACCACCCGGTTTCAAACACCAACCGTGGCTGCAGTGAGTCGCAGCTTGATTTGAAAGCAAGCCTCCTATCGACTGCGCTAGCGCGGCTCGACCTTCCTTTATTACACTTTCTAAATGATTATGGCATTTAAAATCATAATCATGTAGCAGGTCCCTTGCAGAACATCGCTCATAACACGATCTGTCTGAAATCAACTCTCCCCCCTCTCATCCAAGAATTTAGGTTAAGATTTAAGTTTAGAAGATGAATCAAAATCACGGCACAAGGGTAGTAACCTATCAGTTCTCCGTTCTACTTCTGACTCAAGCCTGAGTCCGAAGAATCTCAGCACAAGTATTATGCAAGTAGTCACCTATGTCCCAGTCTTCGTGCTGGTCGACCCCAGCACCTCTTTCCTTGTCCCATGCCTTCTGCGGGACTATCACCGTCATCACCATGTGGCGTCATTCCCTTCTTTTTTGAAGCCCCACCCTGGCTTTTGCAGGGGGCCCTAAATATAGCCGGTTCTAGTTCTAACGGCTGAACGGGGTTTCTAGGATCTCTCCACGAGTGATCCTCATCCGCATGGTGGCACTTTGTGTCACCGTGTGGTTATCGCTTGTGTGATGTCCTGATGGGGTACAACCTACATACATACATATGCCTTCTGTTATGATTTTTTAATAGTCCGTCATAACGCTCAATATGGTAAAGATATTTCAGTTTCTGAGACAGGATGCAGTGTACTAGCCAATATTTCTTGACGTTCGGATCCTTCAGAATGTGTATATTTTGTTTTCTGTTCTTGGTCCATAGAATTTTGAGAATCTTTCTGTAGCAATTCAAGACACAAACTTTCATGTTCTTCCATAATAACAGTATGCTAGGCAGTGAACATGGCCGAAACATTTCTAAGAAATTATACAGCACGCACCATCACTATTTAGATCGTTAAAAAAAATGTCTGCATCCCCCCACACACCCCCCCCCCACCCCAACCCTTTCGGAGTCCATGATACCACAGAATCATTCCTCTAACACATACATTAAACAAGACAATTGGATTACAGAAATTTCGAAATACTCTTTTGGGAGCAAAGCTCTGAACAAGACAGTCTGCTGTGTAATGATGTAACGCCTCTGCTATATAGATAACGTGAAATCCATCTCTTGCTTCCCTTATTGATTTTCTAAACAAGCTTTGGGTTTCTATTTTTGCTGTGTCTATCATTATTAAAAACACGTATTGCCGTGTTATGTCTGTAAATACTGTTTAAATTGTCTTGATGCAGTTATTATGAGAAGAGACACCCGAAAACTTGGTGACAACATAAAAATTCGATAGAAAGAGAGCAAGGAAAAGAAACAGATAAATACCCGAATGGCCTGGAAACAAGATAAAGCAAATTACTTGACTTTCAGCGGTTCTTCCCTGTGAGTGTTCCGGGGTTCCATGATGGGTGGCGGGGGTAAGGGGGGGGGGGTTAGACCCATCCTCCGTATCGACATGTCTAGAACAGCAGCTGTCAAACATCCATGAGTAAAAAGTGCAAGCCCGGCTCGCTAGCGTAGTTGGCTAAACCGGATTGCGCGGTGACCGGGTGACGAACTCCTTGTGATCCGGGTTTACGCCCAGGGGTAGGCAGAAATGCCACATTTCTTCCAGATTTACGGTATTTATCATGGAATCTATGCCTAACGGTTGCGATATCCATAATACCGAGCCTAAGGGTTAACAACTCATGGCTTCTGGATACTAAAAAATTATGTGGAAACAAGATAGTAAACTAGGTGAAGAAATTATTAGTTGCACTACAGCATCTATCTATCTATCTATCTATCTATCTATCTATCTATCTATCTATCTATCTATCTATCTATCTATCTATCTATCTATCTATCTATCTATCTATCTATCTATCTATCTATCTATCTATCTATCTATCTATCTATCTATCTATCTATCTATCTATCTATCTATCTATCTATCTATCTATCTATCTATCTATCTATCTATCTATCTATCTATCTATCTATCTATCTATCTATCTATCTATCTATCTATCTATCTATCTATCTATCTATCTATCTATCTATCTATCTATCTATCTATCTATCTATCTATCTATCTATCTATCTATCTATCTATCTATCTATCTATCTATCTATCTATCTATCTATCTATCTATCTATCTATCTATCTATCTATCTATCTATCTATCTATCTATCTATCTATCTATCTATCTATCTATCTATCTATCTATCTATCTATCTATCTATCTATCTATCTATCTATCTATCTATCTATCTATCTATCTATCTATCTATCTATCTATCTATCTATCTATCTATCTATCTATCTATCTATCTATCTATCTATCTATCTATCTATCTATCTATCTATCTATCTATCTATCTATCTATCTATCTATCTATCTATCTATCTATCTATCTATCTATCTATCTATCTATCTATCTATCTATCTATCTATCTATCTATCTATCTATCTATCTATCTATCTATCTATCTATCTATCTATCTAGATGGCTAGATGGCTAGATGGCTAGATGGCTAGATGGCTAGATGGCTAGACGGCTAGACGGCTAGACGGCTAGACGGCTAGACGGCTAGACGGCTAGACGGCTAGACGGCTAGACGGCTAGACGGCTAGACAGATAGATGGCTAGCTAGCTAGCTAGCTAGCTAGCTAGCTATCTATCTCTATCTCATCTCTATCTCATCTATCTCTATCTCATCTATCTCTATCTCATCTATCTAATATATCTGATCTTTCCGTCTGTCTGTCTGCCTGTTTGTCTAGCCGTTTATCTATTCAGTCTGTCTGCCTGTTTGTCTAGCGAACCTGTCTAGCCAGCCTGTCTAGCTGCCTGTTTCTCTGGCTGGCTGATCTAGCTGGCTGTCTCCCTGTCTATATGCCTGCATGACTGACTACCTGTCAATCTGCATGCCTGTTTGTCTATCCCTATCTCTCTCTCTCTCTCTCTCTCTCTCTCTCTGTGTGTGTGTGTGTGTGTGTGTGTGTGTGCGTGACAGTTTTTGGTGCATAGAATCAAGACGCTGTATCGATCGAAGCATAAATGACATCTGCATGTGTGAAACGAACCGTGAACAGAGCTTACGCACCACTGAACAAATAAATACATCCACGCAAGACCACCCTGACATATCTGCATGGATACGTGTGTGTGACAACAGTGGAATCTGTCAGATAATCCGGTCAACTGGGTGAAGACGCCAGCAATATACAATGTACACGGGCAATGAACAACCAGCAGCTTGCAATAACAGTCTGCTGCTGTTCAAGGGACATTATCCATGTCTCTAGACTTACTAGGCATATAGGACCCATTACCAAGTAGATGGAGGTTAAATGGTCTCGAAGCATGGCGTCCGCCTCGAGTGGTGGAGGTCCCGGTGAAGGCTGGGGTTCTTTTCACCTGGACTTTAGTAATTCCCCCTGATCTCTGTGAAGTAAAGTCGGACGCCTGTGTGTATTTAGTTAGTTAGTCTTTCCTCTTGTGTCGAGTGCGGCACATAGGGCAGAGGTCGCGACTCTCCATGCACGGCGGTCCGTTGCAATCCGTTGTAGGTCTTGGATGTTTGAGTGGCCCATGAGCGAGCCTTCCCTGATGATAGTTCTACGTAGGGTTTCCCTTGGTCTTCCACGAGATCTTTTCCCCTGTGGTGTCCAAATGAGGGCTTGGTAAGGAAGTCTTGATTTATCCATTCTAAGGGCGTGGCCGACATAGTTCCAGCGGCGTTTTCGTATAAAATTAGACACATACTCTTGCTTGCATTCTTGCCTTATTTGTGTATTCGTTCGGAAATCTGACCATTTGAAATTTAGTATTCTTCTAAGGCATTTATTTTCAAAATTGTCTAATTTTGTGTCTAGAGTTTTCGTTGATTTCCAGCTCTCGCATCCATAGGTTAGTACTGGAATCACACAAGAATTGAAGATCTTGAGTTTTGTGTGTTTGCTAAGTGTCTTTGATTTCCAGATGTTAGACAGTTTATTGAAGGCACTAGATGCCAGTGCTATTCTAAATGATATTTCTGGTGCGGTATCTCCTGTAGATGACATCTTGCTCCCTAGATAAGTGAAACTGTTGACTTTTTCAAGGCTGTTGTTGTTCAGCGTGGTATCAACTGAACTGTTGGTAAGGTCTAGAATTTTTGTTTTTGCGGTGTTAATTTGGAGTCCAATTTGTTCTGAGAAATTCTGGAGTCGATTGATTTTTTCTTGGGCGTCTGTGTGTTCTGAACTACGGAGTGCTATGTCGTCGGCGAAGTCTAGGTCTTCCAGAATTTTGTCAACCCATGTAATGCCTAAATTTGCGTTATTTATGCACTTGCGCATGACCCAGTCGATTGCTATTGTATTGCTGTGTGTATTGATGCTCACGTAAAACAATCCATTGGTAGTTGGAAATCGAAAAGAGTAGTTGAAGGCGCTGCCCAGGAAAAATTTGGAGTTAAAAATCTACTCAAAGTTTTATAGGGACCTGGCTGGTGCTACGGTGTTCAGGCTTGAGTTAGAAGTAGAATGGAGTACGTATGTGGATACTACCCGTGTGCCATGGTGCTGATCCGTTGCATAAACCATAAATCCTCATGTAGCAGGTTCTTAGCAGAACGTTGCTCTCATCACAGTCTGTCTGAAAGAAACTCCGTCTCTCGTCAGCTTTCACGCCTCGTGCACTCTCATATCCTAGAAATCTCTTATATACTGGGCCCATCTTCATGCTGGTCGGCCTCTGCCCCTCCTTCTTGGTACCTATAATTTATAGATTAATCGGCTCTCTGTGGGTGATGTGGTCAACATCAAGTTGGCCGCCTTTACTTCACAAGACATTGCCTGACACCCATATTAGGCTGGGTCAACCTAGAAGCAAATTTAATTTTTAAAAGAGAAAAAAGTCAGACTGGTTGAGAATCGAACCCAAGACTGTTTGATCAGCAGGCTCTAGTTGCTACACCACGCGGCTCCATAATGGACACTGGACAAATTTCATATTTATTGGAGACGTGTTCGGAGAGGAAAATCAACGAGAAAGTTTGTTGGTTATTTAGTCAGACATAGGTTATTCCACCCATCATTCACGTCGCATATCGAACACGTCCATAGGTCCCAGGATCCCATCTTCAATATCCTTCTCGAAGTTTGGCAACGGACAACACCAGTTCTGTGTTCGGTTTACTATTCTTCTTTCATTACCTGTGTAGGTTCTTTTCTGGCAACACCTCTGTTGATATGAAGTTTCTGTAGCCTTGCAAATGCTGCCAATTCACCCTGATCTCCTGAATCAACGTTGCAGGTTGACCCAACATAAAATGGGTACCATGATCAATGTCATAGAGAAGTAAAGACGGCCTGCGTAATGCTGACCACATTACCCACTTAGTGCCGGTTGGTCTGTAAAAATATTGGTGCTTTTTCCATATGCCCGATACACCTTAAGCGTGAAAAGGGATTTTTACTTACTCCTGAATAATCTACATGTCCAGTCTCCTTAAGGACGCTGAGTACGTCAGCACGGACTACTGCTTTTGATGAAAATGCATACTGGCCAAGCTACTATGTGTGT